CAGCTTAGGGGACAATTTATATACAGCCCTTTTACCTTTTAACATATTCACTATTTTGAATTTTGTTGAACAGATTCAATCTTTCCTGCTTCTGAAACTCTTTTCTTACTCAAATAACTAAAGAATTTAAGATGTTACCAACACGAAATATATTATTTCCCAGACATGTGAAAACATATCAAACCCCCCACCAAATATTCCAAGCAGTGTTAATGAAGTTATTCAGTAAAACTTTATGTTGGATATGTGTGTGTAAAGGTAATTTTTCATGTATTTTAACTTTCTAAAGAACAGGATTCTAAATAAAAAAATATTGAAATATTCCTAAAAGAAACCAGTATCTTGATTACATATTTCAAGAAGCAAATGCTTAAGACAAAACTTCATAAACAATTATAGATACACGTTCCAGTTATCTGTTTTTTCTTCAAATCTTAAAGACAGCAGCATTACATTTAATTTAGTAAATATCAATTTAATCCTTAAAAAGGAAAATGTCTGGAATACCAAATCAAAATGTATACAGGCACAAGCAGGATTCTGTTTAAAATGAAGGAAAAACCCCACCTTTGTGTGATATTAAAACACAAGGAGTATCCTTAAAAATTTTTAAACTATATTGATAAAAGCAAATTCACAAGTTTATCTAGTTACAAAATGACTTTGTTGAAATATTTTGGTTATAATAATATACAGATACAAAATTTTAATCACTATTAATCCATATTTATGAACCATCTTCACAATAACTAAATTCCTTACAGAATTTTGAATAGCAAATCTAGGAATATGAAATTCAAACAGGAATCTCAACCTATGAGGTTTCTCTAACTCTAACTGAAATAAAAGTTTTGAAGGTACAATGAATGACCTTCAATTATTTCCGTAAAGTGGCATAATTTAATAGTAGCTTCAGAAAAAGGACACTCAACAGCTAGTATTATCAAGGCATGAAAAAACCTCAATACAACCAATTGAAATTATATATTGTGTTGTGTCCTATCTAACTAAGACTCTAAGGAATAACAGATTTTATATTTATACACTGAGGGCATTTTCTAATTCAGAAAAGTAGCTAGTTCTGGAAATCAAAACAGGAACAAAGTTTCATATCACTCTTTCAAAGAGGAAAAAAATAACTATTCTAGAGCTTTTATTTAAGTTGATAATAAACTAATCATGACTTGAAGTGTCCAGACAACCTGGAGAACTCAAAAGTCCAACATAACTGGGAGAAATACTCTTCCTTTACTTTTATAGATACTGAATGTATTGATGTTACTATCTGGATTATCAAAGTGACAAATATCCAAAATCTAAAAATATCACAGATTTAAAACACATAACATAATTCTGACTACTTATTTCAATGTAAGTGTTTTCTGCCAAAATACAAGGAAAATGTAAGAAAACTTCAAAGGTTTTCTAAGGATTTATGGCACTCTGAAATCTATGGGCAGAAGATTATTTTGGGGAGGAGAGAAGTTTCTTTTCTCCATTGATTGTTTAATCACTTTCCAATCAATTTTGATTTAACAGTAGTTGAAGGGATTAAATTTTTAATGAGTTCTCAGAAAGCTGTAATTGCTTCCAAAATCAAAAACACAAGATGATGTACTCAAACACCACATTTATGAAGGTATTTGCAGAAAGGTGCAGATAAGAGCCCAGTTGTGAATACAAGTTTAACATATAATAGAATTCAAAATGATAACTTGAATTCTATAAAAATTCAATAAGCCTAAGAATCTAACTTTAATTTTAACCCCTTTCTAGAAATCATAAAAACAAATGAAAATAAGCATTTATTTCAGAAACGCCATATGCCTTGGAAAATGGAACACTGGAAATTTTCCCCCAAGCTTAACCTTAGTCCTAAAAAGAGTACAGCAGCAAACAATTTATATATTTTAAATTTTGAAAGTATTGTGGAAATTTAAACCAATAGAGTTAATGGTAGTTTATGATCTGTAAACATTTCCTGTTAAAAAACACAAATAAAATCAACTTAAAAGATGCAAACTGATGGGTTTCAGGCTTAAAAAAAAATCTTTAAATTGCATTTTAAAGGTGCAGAGTCAATATACAAATACGAGTGAGGTTTTAAGGATGCATGCATGTAAATTTTCCCATGGTTTGTTGTATGTGCTTTTCCCCCCTTAAAGAAATGCTTACTGCTTACAATGCTAAAGAATCTCCACCACTCTGTCTGCAGTTTTCAATCAGAAATCCTCAATATACCTTAAACCAAGTTGAATATTAGGTATTTTACAGCTTTTACAAAATGGCTGTAAAATCACATTATGGGCATACACAGCTCTTTGATCTCACTGCACTGAATTCATAACTGTTCAATAATACTATACCATTACACCACACACCTTAAACTATTTCCATTTTTCCATAATTCCTTCCAAAATCAGCTTCCAAAGCAAAGCAATGTAACACAAAAGTTCCTGGGAGGGCTTATTACACAAAAGGACAGCTTGGATACAAACTAATTTACACATATCCATCTTTTGTAGAGCCTGTTTATCCTCCTCCACTCCATCACTCCTAAAGGTGGATGCACATAAGGAATGGAAAGATAAGGCTCCTCCATCACCACACCCTCCCAGCACCTGTTTTTGGTCCTCAGACAATGATTCCATATAGGTGATGAAAATCATAAGAAAAGAGAAGCTGTCTCTTTAAAATGCCCTACTCTGTCCCACATCCCACGTGGAACCAACATCAGCAGCACTTTCCCATTAACTTCAATGTGATGCAAGAGTCACCATCCTTTTACATACCTAAAATCAGAAAACCCCAGTTTAACGATCTTCACTGAGGATGAAGCAGGTGAAGCAAACGTGTCAGGAAGGGAGAAAACCAGCAACCTCCTACCCTTTCCCCAAAAGGTGCTCCAGTCTTGCACTTCAGTCTCTCTGTGCAACATCACCTCCCTAACCCTCCACAGTAAAGTCTAGTTTGAAGAAAGGAGGGAGCCACTAACAAAACCTGATGTATAAATGCGACGAAATTGCAATCTAAAGTCGGAAAGCTTTATTTTTCCAATCACACACATTAACTCTATTAAGAAAATGGCATCACTTTCTTTCCACCAAAAAAACCCCGCAAAGATCATTAAAAGGGTGTTATAAAATAGCAAATATAGTGTTTATCTTATCTCAGATCAGTCCACATTACCAATAAGTTTAGCAGTTTCTGCACTACCACCTCCCCCCCTCCCTCCCCCTCCTTCTCTTGCATCGGATTTTCACGTTTTCTCATTGTCGGTTGAGTTATAAAAGGCTTTTACCCTTCGAAAGTTTTAAAAAATAAATAAATATTAACTCCTTGGTCCCTGCAAAGTCAAAATGGACTTCAGGGGAAAGGCGGTTCATACTTTTACCTTTAGCAAGAAAAGGGGGAGCATCCCGGATTTTTAGGGATTTTTTGCGATTTTTTAAAAATTTTTATTTGGTTATATGCCTGAGTTCTCCCTCCATTTTGGTTGTTTATGATACTGACAACAAGCTGTCCCTGCTCTGTGCAGATCTCCTGCTTTCATTTAGCACCCCCTCCCCCTACCCCCCCCTCGCAGCCACACATCCAGGGCTCACACCTCCCCGCAGACCCCGCACCCCGACCCCGACTCGCCCACCTGAGGAAAAGGCAAAAACAAATTCATTTCTCCAAAAAAGAAAAACCTCTTTTGAAAAAGGGGCAAAGTTACCCCAAGTCACTCAAAGTGCCCCCCAAATATTGTCGACTGCGGGTTTCCGCCAGGCCCTTTGGGAAGCGACCTTCCCCCGGGATGTTTTGGTGGAAAATGCGGAGAGTTTACTCTCAAAACTGAATTTATATTAATTTTTCCCTTATTTTTCGGGTCTCTAATGTCTTCCGCTCTCGCTGCTGCCGCTGCCGCTGTCACAATATTCACAGCACCAGAGAGGAGGAGGAGGAGGAGGAGGAAAACTTTTCAAACTTTCCAGACCCTGAATAAAGGGTTTTTTTTTTCCCACCGACCTCACCTTCGGGTCTCCAGCCGCATCGCCCCCTGCCCTGTCAGAAGCGACTTCGGGAGTCCTCACACACTCGCTTAATTATTTTATTTTATTATTTATTATTATTTTTCTCTCTGGGGTCCTGAGCAGGGGCTGAGAGTAGCACAAACTTTTCCTCCTCCTGCCGCCGCCGCTGCTCCTCTGCCCCCTCGGCTAGTCCCATAATTTAAATAACCCTGATATTTCTCCCGCTAAACGCCTCTCCGCCGCCCCGGACCCCGGGAGAACTCACCGCGGGGCTTTAACATCCTCCCTCCGGCCCGTCCGCCGCCTTTACACCGCCCGCGGAATTTCTAATAATTTTTTTCTCATATTTCGGGCTGGACGCGGCGGGCCTGGAAATTGTTTCCTTACGCCTCTTTCCAGCAGCCATTGTAGTGTATGCGCTGCCCCTGCAGCCCAACTTGCAGCTGCCGCCGCCGCCGCCGACGTCGCGCCCACCGCCGCCTCCCCCG